AAAGCGATAAAAACAACTTTTATACATTCCAGAACAAATATAAAGAAGTTTAACCTCTACCATGATATCGTCGGGATATTTTATATATGGAATATGTCTTATATTTAAAAATTCCTGCAAACTATCAACAATCCGTCATTTAATGCACGTAATTTATGCATGTCCGTCTATCCACCAAATTCCCAATGTTTGTCCGATTGAAACAAACATTGCTCGATTTCATACAAAAGATGCTATGTATATTCTATCAACATACCATTCACCCAAAGTGGTGAAGGGTATCATATAATCGCCCCCGCCCGACTTTTGACTTTCCTTTCTGGCTTTTCTTCAATAGGGTGGATTGAAAATGGTAGTAAAATTTGAATTAAGATTTTTTTGAACACGTTTGGTAGAGCTATTGTCACTTATTATACAAACCGACGCCTCCGAAGTCGACTTAGCATGTTTTAAAGTTCTTTACGTTTTTAGATACTACGGTCCTTAATTTAAATTCTCTGAAATTTTGGTAATGATCGCCAATCCAAACCAAAGTTATAAGCAAAAATGTACTTAGCATGACACGTAAGATTTAAGAAACTTCCATACTTTCAGAGCTTCTGCTGAAAAACTCACTTTTCAGACTTAGCGTACTATTCTTCAGAGGCGACGAAATGTGAAATCAAATTTTGGAACCAAAATTGATTATTTTTGGTAGGAAGATTTTGTTGAAGGTGAGTCTAATATCTTCTAATTTTGTTATCAGTGTTCTATGTTAGTTAAAGTCAATTTTAATTTTTTTTATTAAATGTTTAAATTTAAATTTCAACGAACGGCCGCAAACGGTTGGAAAATTCTGGATAGAGAACATATCTAGGCGTCGAATAATGGTTATTAAAATATCCTCTGGCACAGCTCGGCACTAGGTTCTTCAACTCAATTTTTAAAAATTTCTCAACTTTGAAGCTCCAAGAGTCTAAATAGACTTCTTACAAAAAATTCCCGGTCCATAGTGCACACCCACATATCGAGCTTGATAAGTAGAATTGTCAATAAATTTTAGGAGTTTGGGACGGATCTTTTCCCTCGTTCCACTGAAAATAACACTGCTGTAAGTGAATGTGTTGGCAAAGACCCGACTGTGTCGATTTCTCGTCGTTTTCAGGAATTAGGTCTGTCTTCCGTGTTAGAAAGTTGTCGTAAATAACCTCAAACAAGTAAAAACGATGTTAAGTTTGGCCCGGTGCACCATTTATTTAAAATCGGACGAAGACTTATATATATATATATATATATATGGGTTCGTATATATATATATATATATATATATATATATATATATATATATATATATATATATGTATTTTATTTACCATTTAACATGTACAGACAGACCCAAAGACCCGACTGTGTCGATTTCTCGTCGTTTTCAGGAATTAGGACTGTCTTCCGTGTTAGAAAGTTGTCGTAAATAACCTCAAACAAGGATGTTAAGTTTGGCGTCCTTGGGATAATATATATATATACTGGATAATAACTGATAATAACTGCGACCTGTATTTTATTTACCATTTAACATGTACAGACAGGCGGACGGACATTCATAAATCGACTGAGAAAGTGATTCTATGTATATTCTTAAAAGAAACCAAGTGTATGTACCAAGACATAATAATCTGTGCAACAGTGTGGTAAGGGGTATAAAAATATATCGCGAAAAAAATATTTTATTTTGGTTTACTTTTGAAACAACGAAATGGATAACACTGTACCAAACCTCATCTTCAACATATGTTAATGTTTCGTTCAAAGGCCTATATATGTGAAACAGAAGAAAAGTTCTACATAGTTTCGTTTGATTTTATAGTACATATAATATAGAAGTTTGAGAAATAATCCGAAATTTATATCTTTCCTTCTGATATTGGAATCCCTTGAATGTGACTGTTAAATGTATATCACGTTCTGAATATTATTCTTTATTTCTCTTCTCAAATTATCTTCTGAATTTTTATTGTTTACTCTCATTGTTTCCGTCAATGTAATGCTTTCACTTTATTAGGTCAACACGAAGACGATGACAATTTGGAAATGCGAATGCAAATTCAAAATGTAAATTGTGTTGCTGGATTCTCACATCTGCATTTTTCGACTACGATCGTTCGTTCGACAAACAAACATCAAGTCCATCACTCTAGCTGTGCCGGGTGTTGAAGGAAAGTGTATATCCAATTTAAAGTAGGTTCACAAACGCCAACACCACTTGCTGAACATATGTTTGTGTGAATGCATTTCAGTTTTTCGTTTTTGTTAACTGTCACTTGTTTTGGTCATTACAAAGTCTTAAATGTTTAAATTGCTGCCTGCATTTAGTAGTTATGGCCATAAAGGAAATGCAATATTAATTTCTTGTAGTTATGGCATTTGAAACTGCGTAAGATGGCCAAATGTGTTGACAATTGCGGAGTGCAGTCAAGTCACGTCCATGGGAGCCTCATTACCGAAACAAGGCGGATAATTGTGGAAATTTGTAGCAAGCGCTAATGTTGGATACCACAACCGACGACAACTAATGACAAGTTAATATGGTTTAATTATGAACCCCCTATGGGAAAGTTTTGTTAGCTTGGGCCAAACATAGTTTCATATTTTTCTTATTCGATTGAGGAAAAGTGGAATTTTATGATTTTAGACATATTGTTGTTGAATGCGCTGGCGTTCAAATGTTGTATGGCTACTGGTGTTGTCGTATTGGGTTTGTTAACAAAAAAAAAACTACATATTCGTTATATGTACATAAATGTGTTACAATTTGTGAGTTTACTGTTTGTTTAATCGTCATTTGTCTAGAAAAAAAGTACCTATCAAGGAGTAATTTATATTTCGACCGGCTGTTGTTTGAGACATATTTTTTGTTTTCTTTTTTAGGTCTTTATAAAAAATAATAATGAGTAAAATACAAGTAAAAGATTTATTTGGTAAGATTTAAAAAATCTTCACTTCGTAATTTAGGCATTAAAATAATAGCAATAAAATAATAATGAAATTGCGTTACCGTTTTTTTAAGTATAAGTTATAATTATATTCTATAGGTTTAAAATACTCACTATATGGAATTACCAGTTATTTTATTGATCACCGCTGTAGTAGTTCAGAGTCGAGTTTCTAGTTGTAATTTTCAATCTAGCTTTAAAAAATAATATATTTCTAATAAATAAAATATGTAATAAATCCAAATATCATTCAATTTCGTAAGAAAGTATCAAAAACCGAAAATAGGAATTAAATATATCGAAAAATCGGGGAGGATCTGCTACGATAATATTCAAAAAGTGAAAAAGCTTAAAGTTCAGCCGGGCCGAACTTTGGATATCCTCCACCATAGGTATACTGACAACCAACCAACGTGTAACTATACTTGGGAAGTGTGGTTAAAACTTCCGATGTAAACAAATGGCATGGCATTATGTAGGGCATATTGATGTCAAAAATAGTAATATTATTTTTTTAATTTTAACATTTCCCACTTCACGAAGTATTACGTTATACTGTCGAGACTTCTGATGTAAGGAATAATGGGGTATATATGGAACATACAAAATAATTGATATATGCCGGCAATTGTACCAAGCGATTGTTGTAAGCCACAATGCACACGAAATATAAATTTCAGCAATGGGAATTTTTCTAAAATCTCAAAAACCAAAATTGTAGTTCGATATTGATAACGCATAGTAGGATGGAACCTTTGAGTAATATCCTCAAAATACTGCAATTTACAGGGCAAAGTTTGTATCATAATATCTTCCTTTGCATTAATTATGAAATCGGTAAGTATTTCATTTATAGGGTCTAGACCTAAATGCGGATCGATATATGGTATTCACCAACCTGAAGTTTTTATCTAAATCGCCTGAATCGTCTTAGAATTCCATACATTGTGGGGTATGAACTGACAATTGCAAGTACAGAATATGCCCCCTACTATGTTGTAATGGGGCTATATGGAGACAACCTAAAAAGCGGTAAAAATCAGTTAACTATTCAATATAAAAATAGTTAACCCCGAAAAGAGCGACTATAAATAATTTTTGAAAGGGACATTTTTACCAATACCGAAATTTGGGGGATACCGTTATATGGGGTCTACCAGAAAGGTGAACCAATAAAGACCAAATTTGTCAAATTTCATCGAATTCGGTTGAAAAAACACGCTCTAGAACCCCATAATACAGAAAATTTGTGGGTACCCTTATGTATTATGACTAAACGTGGACCGATATAACCCATCCTCGAACTTGACCTGCCTCCAGGCAAAACACAACTCTATGCAAAATGTTGACAATCTATATCAATTCGTTTAGAGGCTAGAGTGATTACAACAGACAGACGGAGATGTGCAAAACGTCATAGATTCTTACTAGTTTATATAACTATGAATATATTAAGTATATATGTATATATATAATTTTGAGTTTCCGTTCCCTATAAACTAATTTACAAAAAAATAACGCATGAAAGATCCATTTTCTAATTAATTACAGCGTTACTTGTAGATGATCTACGTATTGGTTATTGCTAGTGGGTCTATTTCTGATCTGATTATAGAAGAACATGTGTTACATTTGATCGAAGTATGCCCGAAATGGGAATGGGACACTTAACACATTAATACATTGTCTTTATTTTAATAATTTCGAAAAATAACCAAAATATCCTCTATTCCAAACATCACATCTAATTAGTTTATATTTATTTAAGTTTTATTACAGAAATTGTTATTTGTCGATTAAGTTTGTCTAAACTCCCACTTTCAGATAAAAATATATGTCTGTTCCAGAACCTGCCATTATGTAGAATTATTATTGTAAATTATAAAATTATATGTAAGTTTCCATTTGAAATAAAATTTAAACTTAGCTCCCCTTACACTACCCACCGCACAAGCGTAACTAAATGACGCATAAATGGAAACCCAACAACAATAACAACAACTTTTTCCTGTAAAATAAATGTTACTTTTATTCGTCGTCTTAGAATTTTACAATATGGCCAGCAAAATAGACAGCGGTCTTGTCACGTATTATAAAAACAAAAGGATGATTGGCCACGAATGTCTTCGGATCCAAAGGCAATGACATTGGAACGCCAACAGCCACTGTTGTTGCAAAAAAGAAGAAGAAAAAAAAACCAAACAAGAATGAAGCGAAAAAACAAGCAGCAAACAAGAATGTGTAGAAGATTAATAACCCCACTCGCCACTTCAATATAAGGCAACAGCAACTTACCACTTGCAGCCGCCGCCTCACAGCCGATTTCGTTGACGTCTATGAAAGCTTTGTGCTGGACCTTGGAGATGCGCATGTTGCCGGCACGATTATGGAATATGTTGGTGAAGTCGGCTGCATTCGAGAACATGGTGTTGATGCCAAGCTAAAAGAATGTCCAAGAAAATTAGTAATTAAAAACAAAATTCTCCGGCTTAAAAGGCCAAGCTGATAATGTGCAATACCTTTTGTAGGACCGGCTTCAGATCAGTATCGAATTCAAAACCAAATTTGGGCAAGTATACACTAACACTTTTCCATTCCCAAAGACCTTCCAGATCTTTGAAGTTTACACCTTTAAGTTTCTCCTCCAAATCGCGCAGACCATCTCTTTTGTTGGGCAAAATAAACCACATGGTAAGATCAATGTTTTCGAAGAATAACTCCAGAGCTTTTGCGTCCAGCTCAGGATAATCGGCATAATAATACCAGTTATCGGCAAACATGGTTGGCACCTTAATGGATTCCGTGTTGCTTATCCAAAAATCTCTGTCAGAGGTTTCCTCATCCATAAAGGGACGAGCCCATTTTGCCTTAAAATATATGGCATTCATCAAGGCGATATTTACATCGGGATCAATAGAATCAATAACATGATCTATTTTACCATTTGATTTTTCCACCACCCAATGATTGATGGTATCCACAGCATATGTCTCATTGGAGAAATCTAAAGCTTCTGCATCCGAATCAAAGTACTCCTGAGCTATACGACGAAATTCGTTAGAGATTTTCAATTTGTCATTGGTGTAAATCTTATTGGCGATTTCGAGTACAGTTTTCGATTTTATAAACGAGTGCAACAATGTATGATAGCCCTGAGCTAAGCCTTCTTTGCTTTCGTGAGCCGTAGCATGGAGACCCTTTTGGAGTTCCTTGGCTGTGTTGCCATTGGCGCCGTAGTAGAGCAGACCCAAAGCAGTCTGTACAGCAACTGGGGAAATAATGACATTTTTGTCTTGACTTTGACTAGCCACCGTTTGAAAAAGTTCCGTGGCAAAGAGATTTCGTTCGCGTACAGTATTACAATTTGCTGTCACCACTAGAATAGCCACTGGGATCAAAGTATCTATTTTGAAATAAATTGTAGTTGATTAATGATTTAAAAATATTTATTTTTTTAATTTTGTTACTCACTAAGAACCCAATGCATTTTTACAATGTTCGAATATCACTTTCTCCGGCACACAATTTTCTTGGTTAGTTCACCCAAACGTCCGGCTAATAACTGGCTGTAACCATACTGGGCATGCTCATTTATACCACGACCAGTTGTTGCGTCTGCTTACTTTAATAACACACCCAAAAAGAATCTTCATGAATGTGTTGGTAGGGAAAAGAACTAAGGGAAAATAAAGTGCTTGCAAGTAAAAAACGATGAATTTATATATTTTAAAAAATAAGCAACTAAATAGTTTTCGAAAAAAAGGTAAAATTAGTGTGCCGTGCATATACTCATACAAGATCTGCCTTAGATCCTCATGGCTACCCAAACGTCGAATTTATAATATAATCTTATGCGCGTTTTATAGAAAATCTGTAAAAAATTCAGGTTCGGGGAGGCAATTTTACTACCTTATGGATTCCAAAATATCGGAATTTGACGATTTATTAAATTAATTTTAAATTAAATTAGGATAAGTAATAATCTGTAGTGTAGTAACTTTCCAGTAGGGAACTCTCCAACTCTCTACATTTGCATACTCTGTCTCCAGGGCAAGTGCAGTTTACTGGACTCTTCTGTTGTGTTCTTTAATATTCATGAGGTGTTGTGGCGTACACTGCTGACTAAAGCTCTTAACCAACTCCAAACTGCTATAACGCCATGTTTCTCGTTGTGGAACGAAAACAGGTTAAGTATATGCTTGTCTGTTGAAGATTTTCCACAGAACATTTAAGCCACTAAAATATAATGTAATTCAAGAGAGAGCGAGAGTTTAAATCCAGTAAATTCTAATTCTTACTGGATAAAAAGTTTTCTCTTAGGAAATATTAAAAAAAATTATGAATTACAATTTAATGAAGATAAATTCAAAATCTTAAAACTCGACACTAAGTTTAAGTTTAAGTTTATATTTATTGAGTCTTTTTTTTTAAACAATGTTAATATATAAATAAGATATATAATATGAAGGACTAATTTTCTATATAATAATGCTGGTGATTGAATTTTAAAATAACACAAATATTAAAAAAAATTATACGTAACACAAAAACCATTTTGCACGATCCAGTAGGCATATTCTGTAACTTTTTAACAATATTCGACATTGTTTATTTTACATAAATTTCATTTGTTGGTTTTGTTGTTTTTACAATAACAAAAGAAAATTAAACAATATCGAATGTTGTTAAATGATACAGAATAGGCCTATAGGCGAAGAAAATATACTTCTTATATGCATTTTTTAGAAGAACATCGATCCAAATCACGCTTCCCCATATGTAATTGTTATTACTTTTTTCTTTCTTTGGCGTATAGAAGTTTATTTATTTGAAAATCTACCCAGAAATTATTTTTTCTGGATGTAATGGCCTTTCTTCATTTGACGTAGGTGTAGATCTAAATGTAAAATACGCCATAATGTGCCATAAGATAGGACTGCCTGAGGAATCGACACATTCGGATCTTCTATAGAACTTTCACTTAACCGCTCCAGTCTCTTAAATTTTCTTCACAGTTTTGCCAATTTGCGTACTTGAACTATTACATTATTTGATAATAATCGAGAAATTTACGTCCGGATGTAATCTTATATGGCGTCAATAATCTTAATTGAAAATATTCGAATTAAGATTATATTTTTGCTAATACGTTAACCCTCAGTTGACTCTCTAAAGGGGTCTTTTCGGTCCCCTTTTAAAATGATTGAAAACTGATTTAAAACTGGATTATAGCAGGTCAGAATATTCTAAATAAAAAAGATCGCCATAAAGTTTTAAAAAATTTTAAAAGTTTTAAAAATATGAATACTCATTTTAGGGTTAAACCCGATCTTCCAAGTTTATTTCCGATCTTCCGGAAATCACCACCTTCGCGAAGAAATGAACCAAGTCCGCGTCACTTTCAAAATGATGATCAGCATTCAAAGTACATCTGCATTCAAAGTGCATTAAATCGGTGATATAGCCCTCATGAAAGGGTCTTGAGGGCTATATCAAAACATGGACATACCCTGTAAAATGACCAACCATCAAATTTTAATTTCACTTGAATTCAATTATAACTTTGCCTGCCTTTATGTGGGGCCTACATCAGTACAAGGGAAATGTTTACTTACCAAAAGCACCATCAAGTATAAACGTTGTTAGTTTGGCCGGGTCGATCTTTTTACCGATGATAACATAGAATACGGACATAAATGGCTAAATTGGCACAGAATTTTATTTCAATCAAGAGCATCTACATCAATTTTGAATGTTTCGAGATATTGCAAATGGAATGAACAATTTTATTAACCAACTTATGGTAGAGACTTTAAATATAAAAGCAGTACTGTCGTATATTGGTCATACCAAATCATAGATCTAAATCAAAAAGTTTCTGCAAAGAAATGATATATAGGAGCTAAAACTAAATCTGAACCGATTCAATTTTGACTCATATTATTATCGATTTTAAAAAGATTGTCTATACAAAGTTTCAATTGGTGCACCATTTACATTAAATTGTATATACTATACTGAAGATATTTATAAATAAACATATAATGGAACATTTTGGACTCAAAGAATACCCTGTACCACAACATTGTGTATAGTATAAAATTTCGATCAAACCAAAAACTAATTAAATTATTTATACAATCAATAAAAATATACTGCAGCTATATGTGTTGGTTTACTTTGTTATGCACTTTTTTTCATGAACGAACATTTAATTCCCAAAATTTGTTTGAATAAATAAAAGTTGTGAACAATGAAGCCAATTCTATTGTAAACCTATATCAGTGCATACTTTAGGGCGACTTTAAGAATGACCATGAAAAAATATTAAACATCGTCCATTATTATTTTTTGTCAGCATTGTAAAATTAAATTATGAAGTACAGTAAGATCACGATAATTGAAATGCTACGTTTCAACATTATTCGGTGTATTTGGGATTATGTACACATTTTTCAATCAAATGGACTGTCATTCACCCTTTAAGTTTAGAATGGTGTGTGTCATGTTTTATATAAATCGATATGCTTTACAAAAAGAGTATTAGAGCACAACCTCTTCTTTTGTCAGTCTGCGTTGGCCCATTTTCTTATGTGCCATAGAGTGTGTCGTAGTGGACAAATACCGAAAACTTTACAAACCGATTTATGTAAACCATAACGTACAAATACACATTTCAGCAGTTTTTAATAAATTTTTTATATATATGTATAAAAGAGTTGCGTTATAAGTAAAATCTGGCATGTAGGTCGGGTTTTGTGCGTAGTCATGTGATAAGGCGGGATTTTTGAAATTCGTACTAAAATGTACTAAAAACTGAATTGTGAGGGAATCGTTAAAGGTAAAAGTCTGAAATTAGGTACATAGCTTTGTCTATGACGAGCGAAGTGGAATGTATAAACATTTTTTGAAATGTAATACTAAAAGGTACAAAAAATTGTGAACAGTATATTTGAATGGAATAGGTAGATGTACATATCTGTAGATTAAACTAATACAAATAGAATTCTTTTCGCAAATTCTTTTTTGAAATAAGTACTACAATTTTTTGGAATAAGTACTAAAATTGTACTAAAAATTACTACAACTGTATTACACCGGAACGGTTGGAATTAGAACTCTGAAATTTGGTATGCAGCTTTGCCAATGATAAGGAAAGGAGAGTGTGTGAACATATTTTGGAATTTAGTACTAAAGGTACTAAAAAGTACTAAATATTATATTAAAATGAACAAGTAGAAATATATATCTGAAACTTGACATGTAGCTTAGGCTATTACAAATAGAATGAGGTGCAAAAATATTTGTTGGAAAATCGCACTAAAAGGTAGAAGAAAGTATTAACAAATGTGTTACGATAAGCCAAGTGGTATGTGTGAAAAAAATTTTGAAATTTGGTACTAAGAGGTACTAAACATTACATTTGAATGGAATCAGTGAAGATTCATATCTGAAACTTGGTTTGGAGTTTATTACAAATAGAATGAGGTGCAAAAATATTTTTTGGAAATCAGTACTAAATGGTGCTAAAAAGTACTACAACTTGTATTACTCCTGAACAGATAGAAGTAGAACTCTCAAATTTTGGTATGCAGCATTGACAATGATAAGCGAAGGGGAATGTATGAACAAATTTTAAAATTAGGGATCAAAAGTACTAAATTTTATATTACAATGGAAGAAGTAGAAATATATATGCGAAACTTAATATGTACTTAGGCTGTTAGAAATGGAAGTTCTAAAAAGTTATATGGAAATCGGAAACGTGGTAGATTTCACTATTACAAATACTATGCTATGTATTACAATATTTTTGAAGTTAGTACTAAAATGATACCAAATATTAAATTATAATAGGAACGGTATAGATTAAAATCTGAAACTTATGCATATGTGGCTTCTATAATATAATCTATATATATAAAAGAGCTTAGTGTTAAGTGAGTGAGTGACTGACAGACAGATCATCGCCCAGTCGGATGAAATTTTGAGTGCGAGTTGTTGTTGGTGTGTAGGCGTGAGATAAGGCTGGGTTTTTGGATATTCGAACTAGAAGAGTACGAAAAGTACTAAAATGTACCAAATATGGTACCCTTTGTATTAGGCGAACGGGAAGAGCTAGAATTCTGAAATTTGAAATGTGGGATGGAAAGTTAGAAAGCTGTACAAAAGGGTTTTTGGAAATTTGACCTATAAGTGTACTAAAAGTACTAAATTTAGTTCTAATTCTACATATATTGAACATATATAGCTAAAATCTTGAAATTTTATTTAGAATACAGGTTGGGAAGTGGTGCTGATGTATAGAAATGGTTTAATATTTTCCTACTTATGTTTTTTAAAAAGTACTAAATTTGGTACTATTTGCATATAGTTGAGTGTATATAGATGGAATCCTGAAAATCGGAATTAGGACTACTATTGGAATGCAGGAATGAGGTAGCTTTAAAAAATCGTACCTTTGTTTACGAAAAGTACTTAATGATACTA